TCTCCTATATTTTCTTCTAAAAGTTTTATATTTTCACATTTAGATCTATGATCCATTTTGAATTATTTTACATATGGTGAAAGGCATGAGTTTATAGGTGTTGAGCTTTTGTTTTCAAAATGATGTCCAATTATTCCAACATACGTGTTTCTTTTCACTATCTTTTAATAAGGCTCAATTTAGCAGACACTCTATATATGATCCACAAAAAGAAAAGGAACCTTCTAGCTTTGGTGTGACAATGCTATGGCTGGAGATTAAAGGACAGTTTCCAGTTACTTTGATTGGCAGAAATACCTAACAAGTATGCTTTCTACTTCATAGAAATGCATGATATAGAATGGTTTGGAAAGAATTGTCAATGCTTTCTAGTCAAAGATCACCAGGAACACACCTGTGGTTGAACAAGTTGAATTTACTACTCATTGCAGCAAGGGAGAACACATCACAGGGAACCATGTGGCATATCGGTAAGATGTTCGATAAAATCTTATATTAAGATTTGGGTTTGTGTTAGGTGATTTGATAGAGGGTTTAAAGAGGTGGAACTTTGCTCTACGCTCTAAACAGGATATTGTCAGGAAGTGGGGGTAATTCTATGAGTGGGTATCTTAATAAATCTTATCTAGAAAGAGGGAAAACTGGAATGAGGCTAAAGCTGTCACTGGCAAAGAGGCAACAGCTACGTAGACTAGATTGGTATTTTCATTTTATGTATTCCATTTGGTGGGTTGGACAGCATTTGTGTTTTTGTCTACGTTGAGACATGATTATGAAGTAGTGTTATTTTTGTCCTGATCTACCATGATCATGGAGTGACCTCATCTGATGTTGATGTTCTCTAAAATTGTTTTTGTTCAACAAGAATACCAAAGCCTAGTGTGCCAGCATCTACTGCATGTCAGAAACTGCTTGTCTCTTTCTTAGAACATAGTGGTTAAGAACTTGGACTCTAGAGTCAGACAAAATTGGGTTTGATTCTAGAGCCTGCTCTTCACTAGCCTGTGGGACCTGGGGTAAATTATCCAACTTCTCTATGCTTCAGTTTCCTCACATGAATATAGGATTCCCTATATTAGAATATAATGTACTTGCCTCATTGGATCGAGATAAATCAGATGATCGAGGTTAGGAGCTGTGTCAAATAAATCTGTCATATCATAGGAAAAATTAAGAAGGATATTGTTGCAGGGAAAGGAAAACCAAGGATAGCACAGTTGATTGTGCCAGGAATGGCAAAGACCAGTAAGAAAGTGAGGATAGAAAGCATAATGATTTACACTGGGTGGTAACTAACCTTTGTAAAGCTGTTAATTTAATGCAAGGATAATGCATTACACTCATGAAAACATGGTGAAACAGGAAAAACGTGCATACCTTGCAACAAGTAGGCTTGTTACTTAAATGAGTGCATACTGAAACTCTGGGAAGAGGGCTTGATAATGATGAAAACTGTGATTGTGCACATAACAGGAGACAGACTCACATGTTGGGTAGAAGGTTGGGCTGGAGGTTTTTAAACTTCAGTGTACTATCAGCCTAGAAATAATTTCTTAACATTACTGGTTTCTGACTTGCTTCTTTCTGGTCCTCTTTGAACCACCCCACCATGTTAAGCAATGTCACATCTAATTTCTAAGTTTTTCAATAAGGCAAAAAGACTGTGTGTACTCAACTAGAAGAAAACTCAGTCACTTAAGAGGCTGGGTAATTGATATGTGTATTAAGAATTTTGTTAAAAGAATTTTATTGCCTGAAGGCACAAATAATTCATTATTATTGTTATTTTAAGAAAGAGGGTCTCACTCTGTCACCCAGGCTGGAGTGCAGTGGCACAATCATAGCTCACTGCAGCCTTGAAGTCCTGGCTTAAGTGACCTTCCTGCCTCAGCTTCCCAAGTAGCTAGGACTACAGGTGCGTGCCACCACACCTGGCTAATTATTTATTTTTTGTGGAAACAGGGTCTCACTATGTTGACCTGGCTAGTCTCAAACTCCTGGCTTTAAGCATCCTCCCACCTTGACCTCCCAAAGTGCTGTGATTACCTGGCCAGGGCTCATTAAGACATGACAAAATCTTTCAAAATAACATCCAGAAATAAATGTTTCATTTTATTTTTCTTGAAACAGGGTCTCACTCTGTTGTCCAGGCTGGAATGCAGTGGTGTGACCACAGCTCACTGCAGCTTTGACCTCCCAGGCTCTAGCAATCCTCCTGCTTCAGTATCCCAAATAGCTGGGACTGCAGGAGTGTGCCACCGTGCTCAATTACTAATGTTTTAAGAGATGTGATCTCCCCATGTTGCCCTGGCTGGTCTTAAACTCCTGGGCTCAAGTGATCTTCCCCTGACTCAGCCTCCGAGGTGCTGGGATTACAGGCGTGAGCCACCTGTATTTTATTTTAATAATCTAAGAAAGGGAGGTCACAAAATGGGAATCAAGAACTTAGAGGAGTTCAGCCTATAAAATGAAGAAATACTGCAAGTCATGTATTTCTTCGTTTTATAGGCTGAACTCCTACACTTGTAATTTCAGAAGTTTCTGGTGAACTCATGACCTCCCAAAGAAGCTCTTTTAAATCTTAGTTGGTTTATGAAACAGATTCAACTGCTGCTTTGAGTTATGGCTTTTAATAACTGTAAAAATGCAAAATCTCCCAGGAGTGGCTACAATCTTGTGTCATTTGTACTTTGATAAAATTAAGATTCTCTTGTAAAATGACATACAAAGAGAAGAAGAAACAAGACGTAACTGTGCACTTCATAATTTTACCTAGAGTTCAACCTTCAAAGGTCACATATTAAGGACAGAAGTTTCTGTAATAACAAGAAAACAGAAGATATCCGTTTCTTCACATACTGGATAAACAGAACAATCCATGGATCCTGCTAATCATCCAACCCATATGTTGAGTTGACAAGATTATTTAATTTCTTCTTTCTGCTTTGAGAAACTAAAATATCTTGACAGTCTGAGCACAGTGGCATAAGTGGCCTTAATTCTCTGATTTCATAAGTTAATATTTAGGTTGAAGCTATAAACTATAGTCCATTCCATTTAAGACCTGGATCAAAGTTAGCTTCATCCAGCATGCTTTAGCATGTCCTTTCTGAGCTATGTTGTCAATAGTTATCATTCAGTTCCACCATCCTGAATATTCTGCTGTTGATAAACCATTTTGTGAGGTTTTTTTTTTGCTTCCTGTGAATGTTTTTGACTTCGCGTGTTTTTGCTTCATGTGTTTTGAGTTGCTAATCAGATTGCGAAAGGAAACATCTCACATTTGCATAAGACTTCACAGTTCATAAAGACCTTTCCCACCAACCACAAACAAATGTATGACAAGTTTCCCGTTATCTTCATTTTATAGGTGTGGAAAGGGAGTCAAAGAAAAGTTAATCGATACCATTGATCTAGGTAAGCAGGCTTTGAGCAGTTTTCCCGTCCTCAAAACGACCTTGAGGTAGCTCCTGCAACCCCGCTTTGAAGTTCAGAGCGAGACGGTCTCACGTTCCAGGGGGCTCAGCTCAGGCGGGGTCGCCACGCGCCTCCCCGTGCCTTTGGACGGGCGAGGACCACGTGGAGGCGCCTGGTCAGCAAGTGGCAAGGACGCGGCGCAAAGCCAAGCTTTCTAATGCCCAATCCACGGCTCTTTCAATACTAAACACCCACCTCTTCAACAAATTTCGAACGCCTGGCAGGCCCTGCACCAAGCCTAGGGTGATGGCGACCCAGGCGGGTTTTTACTCAAGGAGCTCAATTCTAGGGCAGGGAGAAGTAAAATAATAATAATAAAAAAATCATAACAAACTGAAAAACACATAAATAAGCCACGTCGCTCCTCACCCCTAGCACTTAGTCACAAAGGCCTGTAGAAAGCCCCGACGTGAACGTCTGAGCAGGCCCGGCTGTCACTCCCTGAGGACAGCAGGCAAGGGAGGCTGACGTCCCTGGACGAAGAAAGTGCTGGAGAAACTGGCGACCGTCCCACCTTCCCTAAGGCGAAGGTTCTGAATTCTGAAGACCGTTACTCGGCACGGAACGCGACTCCGGGCACCCGCAGATGCCAAAGCACCAGGCCTGGGGACCGCGGCCTACGCGTCTCCCGGGCTTCGCGCCCCTCGCCCGATCTGATTGGATGGTGGCGGAAAAAGGCGGGGAGACCCCTGGAGCAGGCGCGCGCAGGGCGGCCGGGGGTTCCCACGGAGGCGCCCGGGGGCAAAGGGGCGGGAGGGGGGGCCTCGGAGCGTCGCGCGTGCGCAATTGGGACAAAGCCGGTTGGGGACTGCTGGGAGGGCCGGACCCTGCGAGAAACGGGTGGGCGTAGGCCCGGTGGGCGCGGGAGGGGCCCGGGCTGCAAGAGCGCGCGTGCGCCTCGGAGCCGGAGCCGCGGGAGGAGGCGGGAGCTGAGGAGGCGGCGGAGGGGGCGGGTCGCGTCGGGCGCCACGTCCGCAGCCAGAGGCCGCCGCCTCCACCGCCGCCGCCGCCACAGTTTTCCAGCTCCACATCCTGAAAAGACGCCTCCAGAGCCGCGATTGCCCGGGGTTGTGCCGGCCGCAGCTGCCGCCCAGGCCGCCTCAGCTCTCCTCGGCGCCGGCCTGCTCCCTCCGCCCGGCTCCTGTCCTAGCGCTGGCCGCGACCCCGGCGGTGAGTGAGTCGGGATGCGAGGGCAGGGGTGCAGTCCCGGCGTCCTGCCCTCCTCCGTCGCCCTCTGCCGTCGGCGCCCCTGCCCTCACCTCCCACTGCCCGGCCTGGCTGCCCAGCTGGGCCTCGGCGAGGCCAGAGAGGGAAAGGGGGAGGGGCGGGACGAAGTTGGGGGCGGATGGAGGTTCGCTTCTGGGGTTACTCCTCCTTATACGTCGCTGACTGCCACGCCGCGATTGGAGCTTGGGCACTCCCCTGGAAAGCCTCCGCCTGACTTCTTAGCATCTGGGGGTTCGGGGTTGCGGACGGAGGAGGGAGGTGGGGGGCGTCAGCAGCTTGGGAGGCGGATGCAGTGGAGGGGCTTGGGTACTGGTCTTCCTCGCCCTGCAAACTCCTGACCTGTTGATAAACCTCCCTCTTGGGTTCAGGCACACATGACTTGTCCCCCAGTCGACACCCCCATAGGTCTTCCCGGGTAGGAAGGCTGTATCCCCACGCCCAACCTAAAGTAAAAGTGGGAATGGAGAGGGTGCTGGCGGCGCCCAGGGGTGACAGGGAGTGCTGGAGCACCCATCCGTGCCGTCACTGCCTCCCAGTCTAAATAAAAACTGCCTGCTCTGCACACGCAGCTTCAAGACCGATCCCCCAGCTCCCACTTCCAATCAGATCGCTTGTCCTAAACCCTTCTTACATAGAAATTCTGGAACCCTTCGGGAGTGGGGGGTGTGCTGGGTGTACAACGTGGAGCGGAGGGAGGAGGTGCCAAGCTCAGCGCTAGCCACGGCGCCTCCAGGGTCATTTTCTGCCTCCTGCCACGTCACTCTCTCTGCTACAGAAAACACACACACACACACACACGCTTGCCTAGAGCCTAAAGGGATCAGTGGGGAGAGAAGGGGCCACCCGGAAGGGTTTGGAAACACCTAGAGAAAAGGGAAGGGTTCTTAATTTGATTTTTGCGTCCTTGTGAACGCTGGTAATTCCAAATGAAAAAAGTTGCTATATGTGATTATTTGCTGTATGCTGTTGTTTAGCCTTTGAAACTTCTGCTGGTGTGAGTGCCCTCAAGGGTTCCCCAGAAATATCGATACCACACCAACAGGTAAACGCGCGCGCCAGTGTGTGTGTGTGTGTGTGTGTGTGCGCACGCGCGCCCATACTTAACTTTTTAAAAAGAAAGGGAGAAGTAGCCTTTGATAAACCCATATGCATCCTGTTTTGCTTTTTCCACTTTCATTTCTTTAGTCTTTGTTAGAACAGATGTACCAGAAACCAAGTTCAGTAAAAATTTGTCCATTTATAGAAAGCATCGTTAGAAATTATAACGGTTGCTACATTAGACAAATATACAGGTAGGTGTCTGTGTGTGTGCATGTGTTTGATTTTTTTTTTTTAACTACAGGAAAATCTTTACCTTTCTTTGTTTCAGTTATTAGGTATTTACTTTTTTTCTGCTTCTGGAAGATACCTCACTGGATTATATATAAACATCTTGAGAATAGGACCTTTGTATGCTTGTTCACAAGGATGCCTCAGTGCCTAACAGAATGTTTGACACATAGTAGGAATGCAAATATCTGTTGAAATAATATGAAGATGGTGTGCTGGTTGTCTGGTTTAATAGAGTGTTGTAATTCTGCTTAATGTTTCGTTTAAGGACAACCCTTAAAAATTGCCTTTTTGACGCTGTCAGTTATTACTCGTCTGGGTGGGCACTTACAAATTTTACTGGCAGATGACTTTTTCTTCCTTGCTAGATTGAGAGCATTTCTTGTAGCCTATTTGCTGTTGATTTAATGGGCAGGGGCCATCTTTAAAAGCAGACTTTTCCCGATAGTTGGTTTAACTAGAAAAACATAAAAACAGCTGGATTTTTAATGTACTCTGCTTGTTGGTGTATATGTTTTAGAGCTCTGTATAAATATATTTTTGAATCTCTTTGCAGTTGTTTGGCAAAGAAGCTAAAACATGGGAGTGAGGATGTGGCAAAGTTCTTTTAGGTAGAATATGTAGGAAGATTTAGCTAATTCATTTATAGTTGTCTTTTTCTATTATAGGGACATTGGCACCTACTGTTGAATAACAGGTAGTTTTAAGTGGCTTTGCCGATAAACTTGTGCACTGTATTTTGTAGTTAAGCTTTATATAGCGTGTTAGTGTTATTTAACTTCCTTTGGTGTATAGAGGGGTGGTGCTACCCAGAGGAAAATGTATGTACTGTTTTCAGAATTTTTTATTATGAATAAAAACTTTATATATGAAATATTACTGAAACCCACAAACAACATGGATTCATCTGTTTTCCTTTAAAAAGAAAACCAGTTTCCCAAGAGGTGTTTGTTTACTTATTTCTATTATTGGAATAAATTATCCTTTAGGGAATTGTGTTGTTAATCCTTGCTCAATATATTCGCCAGCTACTAAATCTATGATACTATTGTACTGGGCAAGAATTATTTCTCGCCATCTCTACAATGCTTAATGTGACTGCTGATGAATTTGTAGTCATGATATACAGTCTACAACAAAGAGGTCTTTCATATGGCACAATTTCTTAAAAACCCACTTATAACCAGTTTAGTTGGTATTGTAATAGTTTATTCACACTTCAGGACCAAAAGGTAGAACTGATTTATGTCTGTAGAATAAGTTAAATCATTTGTACTTATCTAAAGATATTGTGTGTCATTACTGCCTTCCTTAGAACAGTATGTGTTGTTTTGTTTTGTTTTGTTTTTTTGGTAGAGACGAAGTCTTGCTATGTTGCCCAGGCTGCTGTCAAACTCCAGGGCTCAAGCGATCCTCCTGCTTCGACCTTTGAAAGTGCTGGGATTATAGGCATGAGCCACCAGGCCCAGCCAGAAAGTATGTTTTTAATAGAAACTTGTGCATTCTGAGCTCCTAGAGAGCAGATATATTTGTTTCTTGAATATATAATTTGTTTCTTGAATGACTCACTAAATGGCAAGTGCTGGAAAAGTCTATTCCCACTGGATTGTAAACTCTGGTTTAGAGTAGTGCCTGTGTGTGCTTAATCACACTGAACTCCTAATTGCATACCAGTGTGCCTGCCACATAGTAGGGCTCAAGTATATGTAGAATTAATGATTCAATGAGTTCAGGGCAGATAGTTTGTATAGAATTTAATAATTATAATGTATTACTTAAGAGTGACATTTAAAGAATGGTCATTTTGATTGTTTTTCCGGAAATGGTAGTCTTGCTCTGCTTGCCCAGGCTGGAGTGCAGTGGATCGTGATCTCCACTCACTGCAACATCCACGCTTCCCGAGGTGTCAAGAGAGATTTTCCTGACTAGCCTCCGCTAGTAGCTGGGAATTACAGTACCCACCACCGACACCTGGTCTGATTTTTCTTATTTTAGTCAGAGGATGCGGTTCGCCATGTTGGCCAGGCTGGGGTCTGAACTCTTGGACTCATGGTAATCTGCCTGCCTCAGTGCCTTTCAAAGTGCTGTGGTGGTGGATTACAGGCCCATTTTGAATTTTTACTGTCAGTTGATACTTGTCTCTACATATATACTCTTAAATTTTATTCTTAGATTATTTACCTTTCAAAGTTTTAGATTGGGGTCTTTATTATATGCTGTCATCAGTTTCTACTATAAGAGAAACAGGTTCTCCTGCGAATGGTGATAATAAGCAGGATAGTAAAAAAATAAAGTATTTATCTTAGTAACGAAGTGGTAATATCCATAAAGAGTGGTAATATCACTGAAAAGTTAGGACACCATATTTGTGTGTAGGTACTTGGAATGGTTTATGTGAATGAAAAAGTACAGATGACACAGTTAAGGGATTTTTAGCAAATACCTTTATAACGGTAACTCAGGTCTTATGATCAAATTAGGTATTCAGGAAAAAAAAATGTCAAATACTTGTGCTTTAATTAATAAAAATAAATACTAATTTTGTTATTACCCTAAGAGTTTCTAGAGGAATTTGATATACATACTGTACTACTATGTAAGTGTGATGTACAAATACCCAATACATCAAAACAATAACTAATTTTCTTTTTTTTTTTTTTTTTGAGATGGAGTCTGCCCTGTCACCAGGCTGGAGTGCAGTGGTGAGATCTTGGCTCACTGCAACCTCTGCCTCCATGGTGTCAAGCAGTGTCCTGCTCACGTCTTTTGAGTAGCTAGTTGACAGGGGTGTGCCACCAGGCCTGGCTAATTTTTGTATTTTTTTTAGTAGAGGGATTTTCACCATGGTTGGCCAGGCTGGTCCGAACCCCTGAGCTCAGGTGATCCACCCGCCTTGGCCTCCCAAGTGGTGGGATACAGGTGTGAGAGGTGCGCTGGCCCTTGTTTTTTGTTTTTTTTTTGTTGTTTTTTTTTTTAGTCTCAATGGAAACTAATCTTGTGGCACTTAGGACGTTCGGGCTTTCTAAATAGTGAATTCCTTAGTCTAGGTTAACATAGCCCCGCACGGCATGTATCCCAGAGTTGCTACTTTCTTGTTTATTGATAATCCTGTTGGTAACTACTGCTAATAAATTTTTAAATGCAACTGAATATTTCTATATAATAGTATCTAGCTTTTTACATTTCACACTCCTCTACAGAAATACTCCTAATTTAAGGCCAGAATGAACTCATGCTGGGTGTGGGAGTGGGAGTGTGGTTGGACTGGCAAGGAGAGCTGGTAAGTCTGAGAATATACCCGGAAGCAGCCCCAGGCGAGAGTGAAATCTCTTGAAAGTCTAGTTATCTTTAAAAAAACAGTGCTCAAGCACTTTTCATTTTACTTTTTACTGTGTGTGAATTTAAAAATAAAACAGTATTTTACATTACTCTAGATTAAAATGCAGGCATTATGTCTCTCCTGTGGATTCTTAAGTCCTTGTGTTTAAAAAGGTACATTTGGAAAGCATGACTTTAGCTTAGAGTTTTCTTTTTTTTAAAGCCCCAATTTGGGCCATATATTGATATGTATTTCTTCTTGTGATGCTTAAAGTATATGCGGATTCTCTCCCCTCCGCTCCCCTCCCCTCCCCTCCCCTCCCCACCTGTCTTCATCCTGTCCTGTCCTATCCTGTCGTTTGAGACAGGGTCTCGCTGTGTTGCCCAGGCTGGAGTGCAATGGCACGATTATGGCTCACTGCAGCTGCTTCAACCTCCTGGGCTTAGGTAATTCTTCCTCTTCATCCTTCCAAATATGTGGGACTATAGGCGTGCGCCACCATGCCCAGTCAATTTATTTATTTATTTATTTATTTATATTTTTGTAGAGATGAAGTCTCATTATGCTCATTATGTTTTCCTGGTCTTGACTTCCTTAGCTGAAGCATTCCACCTCAACCTCCCAAAGTGCTGGGATTACAATATTTTCTTTTTTCTCACAAATACTATCTCGCAGCTTACAACAAAAACATGTACCAACAAATTGGTAAAATATGTAAATAAGATATTCAAATTGCATGCCAGGGAGAAATAGCAATCCGAGTAGCGGTCTTGAGGAGGTGTGGAAGTGTAGAGGAAGATAGGACACAACTATGCAGGGGCCTACCTAGTTGAGCTTGGATTTTAGCTATAAGCTTCCTGGAAGCCAAAGAGAAGGAAGACATTACACCTTTGTGTCTTTTAAATATAAAAATGCATAAATCTTTAAGAAAAAGTACTAAATATTTGGAGGAAACAAGACATTTTCTGAATAATTACCTCTGAAGAAATTTCTTATGTGGAGTTCCGTATCAGAGCTATTAAGTGTTGTAGTGGGTAATGTCTTTAACAGTATTGTACAGTTAATATAGTAATAACCTGCATAAGGCTGTTTGTCAGGATTTCCTTACCCAAGACATAACTGTGAACAAAACTCAGTGATATCATTTTCTTAAGGCATCATGTGATTCAAGTACATTGTTTTTTAGATTATTAACTTCATCTGTGGCTAAAACTTAGAATAATTAGGATTAGATGAACTATGTAATATTTAAAAATATGATTTATGAATATCACTGATTTCCAAGACTTGAAAATATGTATTTTTCTTTAATTATAAAAGCAATACATTTTTATGGTAGAAAATTTATAGACATTAGTTAACTATGCATATTTCTATATGTATTTAACTATGCA